ATTATTTCTGGCGTGGGTGGGGGTTGGGGATTGGAGGAAGAAGATTCAATTTTCTTGTCTCTTATTTCTTTCATTTTTTATTTTATTATTTTAAATTTTTAATAAGAAAGAGGCATGCTCTTCGCCTAGCCCATTCATGGAGTTTTTATTGTATCTTGAATAGGCATCCATGAAGCTAATTAGATTGTGAATGAAGATCGCATCGGCAAGCTAGTCAATCTGAGGGAGTGAAAAAACTTATCCCTTAGGCATGCCGTGTTAAAATTCGAATAGTAGACATCTTTTTCTTCACCAGGACTAGCTTTGATGCCCCCATTGGGAATAAGTTGCTTCCTACACAAACCCATTGGTGACCAACTTGTTGTTAAGGAATAAAATCCCACACCGATTAAAGATAAAAACACGGACCAATATATAAGATTTTAGGCTACTCTTAATAAGATTAATCTTTTAAAAATGAAACCCCAAATTTTGACATGATATCAGGGCCAATCAAGCTCTAACGAGCAATTTGATTCAATTAAGACTAAAAAAAATGAGTATGCGAATTTCAAAATTGGTCTCAAACGACCACCATCTTGAGAAGACATGCTAAGGGATAAAATTTCATGAAATATGTCATCTGTACATAATGCAGTGTTCATACTGATGTCCATCTCCTCACATGGAAGGGGTCCTCCACTTCGGATAAATTGTATTTTATTTGAAATGAATCCCCTCCCTGCAAAGGTATAAACACCGTATGAATACCTTAATGTACGTATAGCATTACCCAAATTTCACATCGATTAAAGGTGAAAACAAAGACCAATCTATAATAATTTAGGCTATTTTTCTTAATAAGGTTAACCTTTTAAAATGGAACCCTAAATCTTTACATTTGTCCTAATCAAGATGTTGCTTTCCTCCCTGCAAAGGATGGTCTTAGGGAATGCATTCACGTAATTGGATCTCGCTTCTCGTTAATTTCCCTGACCATTCACAACGCTTTAACCTTATGAATTTTAATGGCTTGGTGGAGGATAAATTGTAATGGCCTACACGACAAAATTTGGGCTATAAGCGTGGCAAGAAAATCAAAAGTTCACGCCTGTGTGATCCCTGCCTCTTACGTAACGATTACATGGATCCCATACAAATTTGAGGTGTAACAATTGTTTTGGTCTCTGAAATTCTGGAAGTCATTAGACAAAATCAATCCTGTCTATGAAGAAGGAGATTCTCCAACTACAATTATCAAATACATGAACGGTTTAAAGGATAGAGAGATTTTCCAAATATGTTATTTTCCAAGCAGCATCATCTTGATTTAACTATTATGTCAACAAAATTAACCGGGCTAGTTGATGTTGCATTTTCTCCGGTAACCAAAGTGCATACCAATCACATGAACTAACAGTTCAGATAGGTAAATACAGCTTCTCCTAGTGACCAAAACTATGGACACGGTTTGAGACCAGATAGCCAGAGAAAACAAGATCTAGTTCTAAGTTTCTTAAATCTCCCACTTCACTTTCACATATATATGCAGGATAATCAACTCAATTTGGAAACCAATCCCCAAGACGAAATTATCAAAACATGTATTTCCATAGCAAAGAAAGATGCCAAAACCATGTCCGCGACAAAGTAAACCACCAGTTAGATAACAAAAGCATTACATTATAAGCAACTACTATCAACATTATAGCAGATAGTACTATTCTACTGCACAGCACCTGTGGACATTCACTACATTATATTAAGCCTTATCTATTGTAGAACTGTCTTCAATTCCCCCCCGCAACTCAGGGGGTGGTACGTCCAAATCCTCGAGAGGACGGAAAAAGGCCTTCTTCTCCAACACTGAATCACCATTAGCACTTAGAGGTTCCCCACCCATAGCTGATTTATCATTATCAGTTGCAGGGCCGAACACCCCGGTCTCAGGGTGAGGTTCCCAGTATTCGTCAGATAGAGGAGAGATTACATCATCCGGGACTGCAGCTGCTTGGGCATTCTCCTCAACTACATTCTCCTCAACATTCTTGCTGTACACAGAAACATGCACACCCCTGCAAATCGGGATAAATTTTTACATCACAAATCTGATATCAAGGCAACATGCAAATGATAAGAACCAAAAACAAATATATAAATGCGTTGATAGCATTTCGTAATCAACCACCTGGCAGTCATCAGATATCAAGGAAATAATTGGGCCTCACTTCACTCAACTTTCAGTTTTCTACCCCATTTCTTCAGAGTCAGGTGCATAAAACCTAAACAGCGTGCCCTAATGGCAAGGACAATTACGAGTTATTGGCATTCATCACATGTCAAGGAATCCGGCCCATTTAATAAGCAGTGATCAGTCTTGGCCAAACAGATTCATCTCATTATAAGGAAAACAACACAAAAATCCTCCACGGTTTCCACCCATGATGTTAGGTAAGAGAAGCGAACGCGTATAAAATAACAACAATTATATTGGCTTAATATAAGTTTCAAGCATTGAAGTACTAAAGCTAATAACTTGCCTTAGCCTTTTGGTAGCTTGAGTCTCTTCCGCATATCTTGCTCTCCACCATTTGCTCCTCCTCTTATAATTGAACAGCTAACTAATTTCTTTATATAGTTGTGCTTCCATACAAGTATTTAGAGCAGAGAGGCTTGTATGTTAAATCCATGTTACTACTCTGTTTTGCAAACGCGTTTGTAATACAGAACATTCTATTATTCCCTTTTATCTTCATTGCTTACGAGGAAGCTAAATTAGATAACAGATTTGATCAACACTTAGCATCTATCAAATTCATAACTAGAGAATGACTCCGAATGTACAATTTGAACACTATTTATTAGCATAATTTTAACAGCTACATCGCTAAAGGAGATGGTCGTAAACCTGAGAAGCCAAGTAGAAATATATAAACGCAAATGTAGTGTCAATGGGATGTAAAAGTGCCAAAGCTTTTCATTTCAGTTGATATGTGCCATAAGTCGCAGCTAATTTACAATTTATATACAAGTACTCAGTTGCTAGATCCCAACTAGTGTAAGATTTCTGTAGTACAATAGGTGCTTATTCAATTAGCAGTACATTACAAACAAAGCACCGGCCTAATTGTATTTTGTACCAGGAAATGGATTTAATCCAGATTTTTGCAGACTTAAACAATAGCAAACCGACACATTCAAACCCATACCAAGAAAAGCCAGATATAAATTTCTTAATTTTAAAATTAATTGATTAAAATAATTTTTCCTACACAATAAAATGAAAAAGGAATAATCAATAGTATAAAAATATTATCTAAATTAATATTAACCTACCAATTAAGAAAGGAATATTTTAATATATTTAAAAAAACTACAGGAAATATCCGAATCTTCCAGCCGGAAAAACAAAATAGAAAAAAAAAATCATATTAATTCCACCAAAATTCTGTGAAAATTGAACTCTAATCGATAAAACTTCACTTTTCTTTAAAGAAAATTTAACATGAAAACGATAAAATTAAACCTGTTTATGCAACACCCCCACCCCACCCCCCAAGTTACCGAAACCATTTGTGAAGTCCTAGGAAATTCATAGCCACTGATACGCATAAACCATAGCACTTTTTCACAACACGTAATAGGATATAGATACCTGGTGAGAGGGTATGATGGAATGAGAAGGGAATTAGAAGGAGTGGTCTGACGGAGAAATCGCTTAGCGAAGGTCGCCAGTCTCCGGCTCTGCAAATTAACTGCCATTTCTGTTTAACTTGCAAACTATGTATACAGAGGTTCCTTTTATAGTGAGAGTCACCCAAATAAAATAAGGTCTCTTTCCGTACTCCGACTTGTTTAATTCCGTAGTTGTTGGTCTAAATCGAAGGGTTCAACGTGTCCTTCTTCTAGATGAACCCAAACATATTTTAAACCAAAATCCGGTTCAACGTGTCCACAAACTATTTAAAGAAATAATTGCAGCAGCGGTGCCTATTCTTTAATTTTTTTTATAGACTTTAACCTTTTAACTTGTATCAATAGAGACCCCTAACCTTTGAGAAATTAGTAGCAAAGATCCAAATGTTCTTGAATTCCACTGTTAGTTGACCTAAAAAATAAAAAAAATTGGATATTTTGACTAATTTAAATGGGACATTTTCGTCAATCATATATTAATCATTAAAATTAATTAAGATAAAAAAAAAATGCTCCACTATTACCCCCAAATACTTCATCTTCTTCAACACATCCCACCCCTACAATGTTGAAGATGCTTTCATGTGGTTGCTCAATCCTCCAACCTCTGCTCTTAGATTCCAATTTTACTCATTTTCCTCTTCATTTGTCTTTTGTTTCATCAACCACAGTCCAATAAAAGAAAACCTTTATTACCCCAAATTTTTTTCCCCAAAACTCTCAACAAAAAAAAAAAAAAAAAAAATTCACAAAAAAGATACTGAACAATTAACTAATTTTCCAAGGCAAAACCAAATTTGCCATTTGATCAATTTAGTCAATTAGGTTCTTCAACCTTTGTGCAATCTTCATCAAGTGCCCATGATTTTTGCTTTCTTCTTCTTCTTCATGATTCCCCTTTCTGAATTTCGAGAAACAAAGATGATTGACACAAGGAGTTCCATTCCTCTCCAAATACTTATAAAGATCAGTAAACAAATCAATAATCATAGGTTGATCCTTAATACCATCAAATTCTTGTCTAAATTTCACCAGAATTTAATCAACCCCTTTTCTGAAGTGTTCCTTAACAAATTTTCAAGTTCCTGGGAGTTTCCCGCAACACCCTAATCATTATTCCACGAATTAACTGGAAAGCCTTTTTGATGTATTTTGATAATCTTGATTTGCCGATCAAGTAGGGTTTTGCTCACATGATCACCCCTTGAAAAAGATTTAAGTATTTGGGGGGTGGTAAGTGGGGACGAAGTGTGTGTGTGTGTGTGTGTTTTTTTTTAATCTTTCAGGGGTTTAATATAATTATTTTAATTATTAATACGTGATTATCTAAAATGTCCCAATTTAAATTTGTCAAAATATCCTCTCTCTCTCTCTCTCTCTCTCTCTCTCTCTCTCATGCCAACTAATAGTGAAACTCATGATTTCCACTCATTTGGACCTTTGCTTCTAATTTCACAAAGGTTAGGGGTCTTTATTTGAACAAATTGAAGATTATGATGAAGTCTACAAAAAAGTTAAAGCTCGAGACCTTTGCTGCAATTATCCCTATTTTAAACCGAAGTCCAAATGTTCAACGTGTCCTTCTGGATAAACCCAACATATTTTATACCAAAATCCAAATGAGTAGAATCCAGAAAATTAAAAAGTAATTTTAATTTAATGATTTAAGTAGGAGTAATAATTCATAATTTCATAGTAAAATATATTAAATAAGATCATATTTAAAAAACTAAAAAAAAGCAACTATACTCTCAACAAAAAAAAAGGATATAATTTAAAACATTACTACATGTACACATTTTTTTGACAAAAAAGTCTTACAAACAACACTTAGCGCAACATCATTGAAAGATAAAAAATAAAATAAAAAATAGCCTGATTATAAATATGAATTCTGTTAAAATTTTCCTGTACTAATGCCTTTATTGTATAATTTAAGACATGCAAAAAGGGAAACAAGCTAATCTTTAAGGGAGCGAGAAGTAATTAGTATCTTACTGCTCAGTTGCTTAATTGATCACGCCATTTTAATTTATTGCTTTTAAAGTTTATACTTTGCGGTAAAATTAAAGATTATATTATTGTTGTGGTTTAATCAAAGCATAATATTAATCCCCATTTGACAAATAATAAAAATTGTTTTTTTTTTTCGTCTGAGAAAAAGGGATTTTGGAACTGCTTACATTTTTTTAATATACCCATACATTGAATAAAGGTTAGATAAGAGTAATTCATATTTGTTGATAAAAATATGGATAAATTTGAAAATTAAGAAATTGAATATACTCTCAACAAAAAAATAGTTATATACATATGAGCAATAATTTTACCTCAATAACTATTTATTTACTTTTTGAAGTCATGAAATACATATTTGTAATTACCGTCTTCAAGTTGAGCAAATTGTTTTGAGATGAAGACAATATAAGATTCTTGGTTATTAAATACCAATGCTCTTCTTATGTTGATTAATTTCAGAAAATTTCATTAAATATTTCATAGGACGTGTGTTTCATATACTTAAAATTTACAGAAGTAGTGAGGGCGTAGTTTGCGTTCCAGACGAGATATACTGTGAACGTTGATAGAAGTCTGCCAATGGAAGAAGCTTACCCAAGTGGATGCATCAACATATCGACTCGTCGACACAAGAATTGGCAGCCTTACACATCAAACATCATGAGAAAGTGTTAGGGAAAGTGCCCATGGAACATGGATGGACTGACGCCTCGAGAGGCTTGCCAGCCAAGTTTGGATGGGTACAAAATATGGAAGTGCTACATGTAAAACTAGGATTGACAACCACACACATAAAAAAGAGGCCCACGATGAATTAAAAAAAAACCATGAGCCCCCCTCCCGTGAGGATGTTAGCCTCAACCCCGGTTGTACAACTAGAAAAATCCAATAAATATAGCCCCACATGACTGAACGTGAACATAAAAAGCTCACAAGTGTACAAACACAAAAGAAATTACATTTAGCAGAAACACCAAGAGTTCCAAATTTAAATCTCAAATCACCACAAAATTGTAGATTCAGTCCTATGGAAGTCTCCACGTAAACTAAAACAAGGTTAACAACCAAACAAAAAATAACCCCCAAAAGTCATTCTAACAACAAAGCCACTCACTCTTCCTCAACTATGGTTCCCTTCTCGCTCACATAGATACCATCAAGGAACTTCCGGATATCCTTGTTCTTCACATGGCATTTCTGTCAAATCAAACACAGACAGCAGTCTCAGCAAATAATATTAGCTTCAACAAGAACATTATGAATACTGTAGAGTGCATGCACAATTTAGCCCTTGTTTGATCTCGTTATTTTCGAAATACATTTTTTCTCTTTTCTTTTCAACCACACATTCTTCAATAAAATAATATTACACGCAAACCCAAGTCTTTTTCTTATTTTAATAAGCATGCTACATGTACATCATATTTGACACCATTGTCTCACGTCGAACACACCATTCGATTTAGATGTCAAAAAAGATGTAAAGCATGAAATGTACACTTAGCATTATTCATTTTTTAATCACACATTCCCTACCAATCTAATATTCAAAAATGCATTCTTAGCAAAAAAGGGGGACTCAAATACAGGTGCTTAATATGTGCATTAAACATATGTACAAATATCAACCACCTGCAACCACATATCCATCAATGTAAATGCAAGCATGTATTACCTGGTTTATCAATGCACAGGATCGTGAAACAAGCTCAATGTCATTCCCATCTAAGATCAATTCATCCTTAACTTTCTCAGATCGGAGAATAGAGACACCATCAAGCATTTCCACCTTCCTAACCTGATGTAATCAACAAGTTAATGACAAACTAAAATCAGATTCAGTCCCAACAAGCTCATATACAAGCAACATTTCTGCGGACTTAATTAGCATGTGAACAAATTCAGATAGCAATCAGCAAGAATCTAGAATGACACTGCAACATCTGAGACAAATAATTTTCACTGCAAACAAGAACCACAACTTTTTCCTAATACAAGAATAAAAACATAAAAGTATTGCCAATCTGTTCTTATGTAATTTCGACTTTATAAATGATAGAAATCAACATTAATACATACTTCAAGAATAAGCTTCAAAGCACCACATACTCAATTGTAGTGTATAAAAGCTCAGAGTCTTTGACTTGAGCCTCACAGTACAGGGGCAAATAACAAATAACTGATATAATCTCCGAAAAATCGAATAACAGAGTAAAACCACAAAATGGAAGCAAATAAAACAAAGTTTCCAAAATCACAGCTTAACAAAGGTACTTACTACAGTACTATGGGTATTGAAAAAATGGTCATTTTCTCTTCCAAATAACTCAGATACAAAAATGGAAGAATCCCAGATAAGTTACTAAATATAACCAATATAAAAATCCACGCTGAATCAATTTAAAAAAGAAAAAAAGAAATGTCACTTCAAATTAACCATTCGCAAATAAAGAGGCCAATGGAAATGAAAACAAATTAATCATTAACATAAATTACATATAATCTAAAGCATTCACAGATGCGTAAAAATAATTGAAGAAATACCTTCTTCTCGCCCAGGAAGTTACGGATCTCAATAGACTTGCTTCCATTAGAGATGGAAGCATTGATCGGAAAGTGAGCATACACAAACCGCATCTTATAGCGGTATCCCTTAGTAACACCGGTGATGAGATTGTTGACGTGGCTGAGAGCTGTGCGGATGGCAGCGGTGGTCTTTCTGGACCCGAACCAGGCGTCGACCTTTAGCTTCCGTTTCCCGGTCTCCTCATCTGTGATTAGCTGAAAATCCAGATTCAAATGCTTAAAATCTCGGGTCAACTTACCCCTAGGACCCTCCACCTCGATCACCTTCGCTTTCACCTTAATATTCACTCCGTCAGGGAGATCCATAGTTTCCGATGAGAGTATCGTCTTCATCTTTTCGCGCGCTGCTTTCCACACCCGTTCAGTGTGTGCCGGTGCGGAAAAGAGATGAGCAGAGAGGAAAACCCTAGAGAGTGGCAATATGCAATTGGTTTGGATTTTAGCGTCAAATGTGGCGTGCCTAGATGTGTTTTGGGCCGTAACACTGGGTCCATAAAACGATAACCGCAATTGAATTTTGAGGAAATTGCGCAAGTTAGGTAACAGTTGGTTTGTATTTTCATTTTTTATTTTTATTTTTAAAATGATTTTTAGTTTTTTTGAAAACGATCTGTTTTTTGCGTTTTGAGTATTTTGACAATTTATAACTGAAAATGCTAAAAATGATAAAAAGTCGTTTTGCGTTTTCAGTTATAAATTTTAACTCGTTTTTGAAAACGACGAACCAAACGCGTTTTCCGAGTTTTCGAAAACGAAACACGAAAAATAACCCGAAAACGACAAACCAACCATATTTGAAATTTATGTCTTGGCCCCTCTTCCGTTTAAATAAAATTCAAATTTTTAGTAGATTGTTATAAAAGTTGATAAAATGTAAAATTAAAAATTTATATTTGGTTAAAAAATAATCGTTGATTTAATCAGTTTTTTAGCTGAACCAGGTAAGAGTTTTATCAAAAGTACATAAATAAAATACTATAAGAATTTGAATTCAAATTTAACAAACTTGTAAAAAAATTTCACAAATCAGGTGTATAATAATTAAAATATATTATACATCTCTCTCTCTCCCCCCTCAATCACTTTCGCGTATCTATTATCCACCTATCAATTTCCCTTCCATACCCAAATCTATCATTTCTCTATAGCCATCTCATTTCTCCATTTATCTGTTCGTCACCATCGCAATCGACTTCTCTAGTTGTTTCGTTCTCCTCCTTCTCCCAAAATCCTCATAGCAGCCAAATTATCACACATAATCCACAAAAAACTTCTCATTTTCTTTTGAAGCAACAACTGCCAGGTCTTAATTTTCATGTCGTGAACTCGATATTAATAACTTTTTCTTTCTCTGATTCAATGACGATGATGCCTTTTATGCTGCGACGAAGATGGAGTCTACATGGATTCCACCTTGAATCAATTTTTTCTTTACTAATAGTGAGCAGCACATGCCATAGTATAATTGGCTACGTAATAGCGTCACGTATGCAAGTCTAGAGTCGGTCTTTTAAAGTCTACCTAACTTATTTTTCACCTTTAGAAAATAAAGCAACTTCTCGTCATTTTGAATGGTAAAAATGCCGAAGAAGCGAGAGATCAAAAAGCTATAAGAGTAAAATCAGTTTCTTGCACTGGCCATTAGTACATGAACATATCGAGAGAAGCTTAAAAGTATGTAAAATTTACTTTTAAGTAAAAATTAATCTATCAAAATATGTTCGAATAAGTTACTTTTTCCTAGTGAAATGTCAACATTCAGACAGGTCTCTAACCCTTTAGCCCTAGGCAATTTAGAAAAAGAGGTTCATGGAAAAGTTGAAATATTGATATCAACAATGACATATCCATACAATAACCAAATCAACCTTGTGATAAAGCTGACACAAAATTAGAATTAATCTTTTTATAAAACTTTAAACTGCTACCTATAAGATGCAGTGAGATAAAATTGAAGAACGTTGGAAGAACAAAATCCAGTTTGATATCCATGGTTGCGATTCTTCTGTAGAAATTTGACAGTATGACATGAGTTTGAGGTAGGGAAAAGTCATAACAAATTGGAAAGCAAAAATACGACACTATCATTGTAAATGTTCTGTATATACAATGGCAAAATAATGAAGCCTACAAGTAACTGTGCATCACCATTTCCTCAGAATTCAAATAAAGTCTAAATGAAAATTCTCAATAATTTCCAACAACAATACTTATCTAGCTAAAATCCCACAAACTAAAATGAGAAAATCACCACAAAATCAAAGAATACTTGCATAAAAAAATCTAAGATAAACTATAGTGTGCAAAATATTACACAACAATCTCAATTTATCAATTTCAAGCATCATAAGGATATTGTGAACCAAAAGAAAACATAAACAATTTTCACTTTACTAACGTCTAAGTCAGCCTAGGATCAAAAGTTAAAACAAGAGAGGTGGTTGGAGTAACAGCTCCAAAGCTAAAATGTATAAGAGTCTATAACCAGTGCAATAACATCTGCAAGAAGGTTGATTACTGAAAAAATTAATATTTGAAACATTAGATTAACTGAAAATTGTTAAAACATGGTGAATACACCCAGTTACCATTTTCTTTTAGGATGATTGTAGCGACATTTGGTACCATACTTGCAGCTGATTAATTAAACAACACATTTCAATGCAATTAAATATCTTGTTATTTCTCTCTTTTGGGATGTGTTCTAGTTGTTACACAATGTACTAACTTGCCAATTTGTACGTAAAATGGAACTTCACCTTACAATAAAATTTTGCCTTTAAATGTACTCTTCACTCATCTGATTACTTTTATATTTGTAATAATAATAAGTTACGAGATCCGTGGAATCCAATAGATCATCAATTTGCCATTGTCCAGTATTTTTAAGGCATGAAAAGATGAAGAATATTTGTATTTATTGATATTATCCTTCATATTTTCATTCATACAAATTAAATTTATAATCCTATAAATTTTCCTTACGCATCATTTTATTTCTGAAGTATATTAATTAAGCATATTAGTATTTTGTGTAGGATTTATACAATTAGTAATAAGATTCTCATATGACTAAAACTTTAATGCATAACACTTTGGATTTAACATAATATACACAACTGACATGGCTAAACATAGACATATAGGAAGAGTGTAATATGGTTGTATAGTTCTTAAGACAAATTATTTTCATTTAAAGGAGATGGCTTGACGACAATAAGATCAAGCTACTATATTCAAAGATTTATCGAGGGCAGTGCAAGACTTGGGCAGGCAGCAAGCTCAAGCAGCACCTCATAATGCGACTGGAAGTACCAAAACCATGAGCTCGATTATTGAGCAGTTTCGTCATTTTAAACTCCCATCATTTGATGGTAAAGATGATCATTCGCAGCTGAGGAGTGGCTGAGAAGACTTGAAAGGATCTTCGAGCACATGAACTGCAACGACACTCAAAAGGTTTCTTGTGTGAAGTTCAAGTTAACTGACGATGTTGGACGTTGGTGGGAGTAGGAAACACGTACTAGAACTATAGAACAACAACATAAACTCACTTGCAACTAGTACAAGGAGTCGTTGATGGATAAATATTTTCCCCAGCCATTGAAGGATCAAAAGGAGGTAGAATTTCTTCAGGTCATGAAAGGAAACTTGCCACTAGGAGAGTATAAAAGAAAATTTGAACAACTTTCTAGAAACGCTCCGCGTATGGTAAATATTGAGCTAACGAAGGCTAAAAGGTTTGAAATGGGATTAAGATCAGAGATTAAGGAAATCATGGAAGCCCAGCAATATACTACTTATGCGAAAGTTGTACGTCGAGTGTAAGCAATCTCTAATGGTTTAGGATTGGAAAAGAAAACCCAAACCAGTGTCTAGTCCTCTATAAAGAGAAAGTGCAAGGTCACAACAAAGAGAAAGGTAAGAATCAGAATAAGAAATGAAAGGTTTGGTCAGACTCAAACAAAACTTATCCTCAATATCCCAAATGCAACAAGTGACACTCGGTCGAGTGCCTTCAGGAAAAAAGGGCATGCTACGCTTGTGGTAAGATTGGTCATTTCCTTAGAGAATGTCTAGAAAAGAGGGGAGAAAGTGATCAACTTAAGAAATGAAAGGCCAAAATGTTTGTTTTGACAGGAGAAGATGAAGAAAATGACACAGAAGTAACAATAGGTATGTTACTAGTTTCTAATATACTTGTTATTATCTGCATAGATTCTGGATCCACGCATTCGTTTATTTCTACAAATTTTATAGATAAGATTGGGAATAAATGAGTAAAAATGAATAGCATCTTAGATGTTAGTACACCTTCAGGTGAAGTCATTAAAACTAATCAAATGGCTAAAGATGCTGAGTTAGAGATCGAATGAAGAGTATGAAAGGCAAATTTGTACCTCTTGAGAATAAAAGACTTTGTGATGTAATTTTGGGTATGGACTGACTAGGTAGAAATTATGCAACTATTTGATGCCATGAGAATGATATTCTATTTCGAAAACCTGGAAAAGAAAAAATTCGATTCTTTGGAACAAGAATTGGGACTCTACCCCGATTGGTATCTATAATGAAAACAAAAAAGATGTTGAGAAAGAATGCGTGTCAAGGATTTTTATTGAATATTACTAGTAAGCCTCAAATCGAACTAAAAGTGGAAGATGTACTGGTGGTTATGGAGTTTGTGGATGTTTTTTCCTAAAGATTTACTAGATATACCGTTAGATAGGCAAGTAAAGTTCACAATTGACCTAACCCCTACGGCAGCACCAATATCTAAGGCCCCTTGTAGGACGTCACCAAAAGAATTACAGGACTTGAAGATACAACTACAAGAACTATTGGATAAGGGTTTCATCTGACCCAGTGTATCTCCATGGGGAGTGCCAGTATTGTTTGTTAAAAAGAAAGATGGTCAATAAGGATGTGTATTGATTATAGAGATATTAATCATTAGACCATAAAGAATAAATACACACTCCCAAGGGTAGAGGATCTTTTGAAGGGTGCAAAGGTGTTCTCAAAAATAGATTTGAAATCGGGTTATCACCAACTCAAGATAAAAGGATTTTGATATCCCTAAAATGACCTTTAGAATACGGTACGGGCAATATGAGTTCATAGTGATGCCATTTGAGTTAACTAATACGCCAACCGTGTTTTATGGATTTAATGAATAGAGTTTTCTATCCATATCTAGATTGATTCATTATGGTCTTCATCGACGATATATTGATATATATATAAAAGATGAGCAACAACATGAAGAGTAGTTAAGAGTAGTATGAACACTTTTCGAAAGAAGTAGTTGTGAGCCAGATTCAAAAAATGTGAATTTTGGCTATATCGCATTAACCTCCTTGGACATTTGGTCACTACACAAGGAATCGAGGTAGACCTAACTAAAGTTGAATCTGTAACAAGTTAGACTAGACCGACCAATGTAGATGAAGTTCGTAGTTTCTT